TCTTGTAAGGAGTTAGATAGAATTCTTCTTTAGCAACTGGTGCATCTAACAGGGTCCAGTGGTCTTGCTAAGATCATTGATTGGTCCTTCCCCATCCAAGGAATCCCTCTCCACGTGTATGCCCTTTAACAGTACCTTAAAGAACCAAGTGCTCGCCCTAGGTGGTAAAGGTAAGGTAGCCTGGTTCAGCAGTGGTCAGTTCCCCACATGAGTGCAATGTTTGAAGCCCATTTCTGGTGTCCCCTGCCGAGATTTTCCTAGAATGTTGCTAAAGACAACGTAAAACCATACTCACTCACTCCTCTTAGCTGCAAATTTCCACAGCGTAGTTTTTGTTGTTTTTCTCACCCTTTTTACTGACACCATGAAACATAACCTCTGGTAGAAGCTGTATTCAAACTGATGTCAAAATACATGGTTTTGTTTGTCTGTGGATTATTTAATAATCAGTTATGGTTAACGTTTCCTGTGTATGAGTTTAGAGTCTTGTAGTCTTCCTTAGACCCTTGTCTGCCATTCCAGTTCTTGGTAGATGAACTTTTAAATTTCATGTCAGCTCAGTGAATGTTCTTTGAATGATGTATTTTATGATGTGGGAGTTTTATCATTGTTGAAGTTAATAAAGTCTCCATTTCATATGAAAGAAATATATTGTGTTCCTTTGACATTCAGGAGGCTGCCTGTTTGTGAGTGTGATGTAACATCTGGATTTCAGGTTTAGTTACGTCTGGATTGACCCATGAAGGTCCGGGTTAGAATGTACCTTCAGTAACCCATGCTTGTTGTACAAGGCGACTAACGGGATCGGGTGGTCAGGCTCGCTGGCTTGGTTGACACGTGTCATCGGTTCCCAATTGCACAGATCCATGCTCATGCCATTGATCTGGTCCAGATTCGATTCTTTACAGACTGCAGCCATATAGCTGGAATATTGCTGGGTGCGGCGTTCAACTAAACTCAATCAATCAATATGTCTGCAATGAATCATAGACTACCTGCAGTATGATGATGTTCATCACACTTCCAACAGTGGGATTTCATGTACTGTACAACAGGTTGCCGGAAGTCTGAAACCGAATACATTGGTTGAAACTTTGGTTGGCTGGTGTTTAACGCCACACTCAGCAATATTCCAGCTCTATGGCGGACCGTCTGTAAATCATCATGTCTGGACCAGACAATCCAGTGACAATCAACATCATGAGCATCGAGCTACGCAATTAATAATAATAACACCCGATAATAACACCCGATCCCGTTAGTTGCCTCTTACAACAAGCATGGGTTGCTGAAGATCAATTCTAACCCGGATCTTCAGGGGTCGTATATGGTAAACAGACGGCCTAAAGTGTGAAACTGTGTATGGTACAACACGCTGACTGGTGTGATTCTCTATACTGTAGAAGACAGACAACTGGAGATGTGATTCTGTATGAAGTCAAGCAACAATACATGGTGTCTGAAGTGATATTCTGTATACAATACAATCTGTCGAAGTGTAATTCTGTAAACAGTACAACAGCAGGTTCACAAAAATACATGCTGTCTGAAGTGATATTCTGTATACAACAATACAATCTGTCGAGGTGTAATTCTGTAAACAGTACAACAGCAGGTTCACAAAAATACATGGTGTCTGAAGTGATATTCTGTATACAACAATACAATCTGTCGAGGTGTAATTCTGTAAACAGTACAACAGCAGGTTCACAAAAATACATGCTGTCTGAAGTGATATTCTGTATACAACAATACAATCTTCACGAAGGTGTGAATTCTGTAAGTGTAATCCCAGTACAACAGCAGGTTCACAAAAATACATGCTGTCTGAAGTGATATTCTGTGCATAGCGGCAATACAATCTATCGAGGTGTGATTCTGTAAGTGAGCTAAAGTAGCTACCCCAGGTCTGTGACATTCTGTATACAATAATAAATCTGTCGAGGTGTAATTCTGTAAACCCCAGGTGTAATTCTGTAAGTAGCTAAAGTAGCTACCCCAGGTGTGATTCTGTAAGTAGCTAAAGTAGCTACCCCAGGTGTGATTCTGTAAGTAGCTAAAGTAGCTAAATTCTGTAAGCAGCTAAAGTAGCACCCCAGGTGTGATTCTATGGGCTACCCCCAGGTGTGATTCTGTAAGTAGCTAAAGTAGCTACCCCAGGTGTGATTCTGTAAGTAGCTAAAGTAGCTACCCCAGGTGTGATTCTGTAAGTAGCTAAAGTAGCTACCCCAGGTGTGATTCTGTAAGTAGCTAAAGTAGCTACCCCAGGTGTGATTCTGTAAAAGTAGCTACCCCAGGTAGCTAAAGTAGCTACCCCAGGTGTGATTCTGTAAGTAGCTAAAGTAGCTACCCCAGGTGTGATTCTGTAAGTAGCTAGGTGTAATTCTGTAGCTAAAGTAGCTACCCCAGGTGTGATTCTGTAAGTAGCTAAAGTAGCTACCCCAGGTGTGATTCTGTAAGTAGCTAAAGTAGCTACCCCAGGTGTGATTCTGTAAGTAGCTAAAGTAGCTACCCCAGGTGTGATTCTGTAAGTAGCTAAAGTAGCTACCCCAGGTGTGATTCTGTAAGTAGCTAAAGTAGCTACCCCAGGTGTGATTCTGTAAGTAGCTAAAGTAGCTACCCCAGGTGTGATTCTGTAAGTAGCTAAAGTAGCTACCCCAGGTGTGATTCTGTAAGTAGCTAAAGTAGCTACCCCAGGTGTGATTCTGTAAGTAGCTAAAGTAAGCTACCCCAGGTGTGATTCTGTAAGTAGCTAAAGTAGCTACCCCAGGTGTGATTCTGTAAGTAGCCCCAGGTGTGATTCTGTAAGTAGCTAAAGTAGCTACCCCAGGTGTGATTCTGTAAGTAGCTAAAGTAGCTACCCCAGGTGTGATTCTGTAAGTAGCTAAAGTAGCTACCCCAGGTGTGATTCTGTAAGTAGTAAAGTAGCTACCCCAGGTGTGATTCTGTAAGTAGCTAAAGTAGCTACCCCAGGTGTGATTCTGTAAGTAGCTAAAGTAGCTACCCCAGGTGTGATTCTGTAAGTAACTAAAGTAGCTACCCCAGGTGTGATTCTGTAAGTGTGCTAAAGTAGCTACCCCAGGTGTGATTCTGTAAGTAGCTAGTGAAGTAGCTACCCCAGGTGTGATTCTGTAAGTAGCTAAAGTAGCTACCCCAGGTGTGATTCTGTAAGTAGCTAAAGTAGCTACCCCAGGTGTGATTCTGTAAGTAGCTAAAGTAGCTACCCCAGGTGTGATTCTGTAAGTAGCTAAAGTAGCTACCCCAGGTGTGATTCTGTAAGTAGCTAAAGTAGCTACCCCAGGTGTGATTCTGTAGCTAAAAGAGCTACCCCAGGTTCTGTAAGTAGCTAAAGTAGCTACCCCAGGTGTGATTCTGTAAGTAGCTAAAGTAGCTACCCCAGGTGTGATTCTGTAAAGTAGCTAGTAGCTAAAGTAGCTACCCCAGGTGTGATTCTGTAAGTAGCTAAAGTAGCTACCCCAGGTGTGATTCTGTAAGTAGCTAAAGCTACCCCAGCTGATTCCAGGTGTGCTATTCTGTAAGTAGCTAAAAAGTAGCTACCCCAGGTGTGATTCTGTAAGTAGCTAAAGTAGCTACCCCAGGTGTGATTCTGTAAGTAGCTAAAGTAGCTACCCCAGGTGTGATTCTGTAAGTAGCTAAAGTAGCTACCCCAGGTGTGATTCTGTAAGTAGCTAAAGTAGCTACCCCAGGTGTGATTCTGTAAGTAGCTAAAGTAGCTACCCCAGGTGTGATTCTGTAAGTAGCTAAAGTAGCTACCCCAGGTGTGATTCTGTAAGTAGCTAAAGTAGCTACCCCAGGTGTGATTCTGTAAAGTAGCTACCCCAGGTGTGATTCTGTAAGTAGCTAAAGTAGCTACCCCAGGTGTGATTCTATAAGTAGCTAAAGTAGCTACCCCAGGTGTGATTCTGTAGGTAGCTGAAGTCTACCCCAGTAAGCAGCTAGCTAAAGTAGCTACCCCAGGTGTGATTCTATAAGTAGCTAAAGTAGCTACCCCAGGTGTGATTCTGTAAGTAGCTAAAGTAGCTACCCCACACAACACTTTACTGTACAACACTACTGTACAACACTACTGTACAACACTACACAACACTATACTGTACAACACTACAACACTCTGTACTATACTGTACAACACTATTCTGTACAACACTATACTGGACAACACTATACTGTACAACACTACTGTACAACACTATACTGTACAACACTACTGTACAACATTGTCTTTGCATAATCGAGCATCAAATGGAAGACTATTGATCAGTGCAGTGATAACAGTGTGCGAAATAGTTTCCAAATTTTGTTAAGTTTAATAAGTCTGAGGAGAATACCAACACTTGATTTGATATGCCCATGTGGGGATTCGAACCTGGTCTTGAATTTAACCATAGAAAATGTAAGCAAAAGATTACACAAGGGTAAGCTGCTAATGTGATGAACATTTGTATCAGGCCATGATCTTGCATGATTTAAAAGGGTATTATAACTTACCAAGTCGGTGAGAGTGATATATATTTACAAAATGACCCGATGAAAATTCTACAGCCAGTCGGGCCAGTGACTGTGGAGACTTACTGGCCCGACTGGATTTTACCAGCCACGGGTTGCGGGCTAGTGGCTATTTCGCACATTGAGGGACAAACTAAATCTCCCATTTTGACCACCTGATCCACAATTCCGTCAGTCATTCCGACAAGCACCGGTGTTCGGAACTGGTCCCCAGTCAGGGTTATAGTTCCTATATTGGAGATTCCCAAGCATATGGACCAGGGTGCCTTGTACAAAGCGATCTTAGTGCTAAGTTAATCTTAATTCCCCTACCTTAACATAGACGTAAGGTAGTCTTAGCGTTCAGGTCGTTTTGTACAACGCCACCCAGGTCATATTGCCCGGTGATAGAGGGTCAGCAAGATAAACAAATCAGTTCAATAAGCGCCACCTGGAGTAAGAGAAACTGATAAACAGAGGGGAGGTTGAGACGAAGTCCAAAGATTGTGTCAGTCAATCCATATCGACCGAAGCAGATTGTACTGGCCACTCGGACATCGGGCAAAGATCCCGCCAGTGTAATGCTTCTGAAAACATAGTAAGTATAATCATTATAATCTATTTACATTCCCTTGGTAACTGAAAGAGTTTCCAACTTTTCATATTCATGTATTAAAGTGAGAGTGAGTTTAGTTTTACGCCGCACTCAGCAATATCCCAGCTATATGGCGGCGGTCTGTAAATAATCAAGTCTGGACCAGGCAATCCAGTGATCAACAGCATGAACATCGATATACGCAATTGGGAACCGATGACATATGTCAACCAAGCCAGCGAGCCTAACCACCCGATCCCGTTTCATGTATTAAACTTTTTTTCATTAAAACTGCATAAAATACAACACGACACACGTAATATACACTTATACAGTTGCAGTATTTATAGACCACATATAGCTGCACATAATGTATTTTCATGATAAGTATATTGTTTCAACAACTAGAAAGTATTAAAAGTAGCGTATGCCATTTGGCTTTGCGAAATGGATACCATGTTCATGAAATATGAGGACAGCATCTTTTTCACATTCTTCTAACTATGGGAGCTTGGTCGTCATGGACACCAGTGACGTAAACAAAACTATGACGACGCCATCACATTGGGGTATCAGAAAATAACAGATAACGGTTATTTTAATTTTTCAACGTTCATAAACGTGTGTTTCCAATTCAGAGAGAATTATTTGGCATTCCATCGTCGTGTTTCAAATAATAATCTCATTTCTTTTTAAAATTACAAATTTATTGAAGAGATTACGTATGAAGAAGACAGTTGTTCAGCTAAGCTGTAACGGCATATTAATTAAAGTATGAAACTAAAAGATACAAAAGTCTTGCTACACCATATATCTGTGACGGGCGATTTCTGTCTTTTAACAGCCAAAGCTCAATAATGTTTTTCTATAATTTTCTGTGAAAATTTGGTTTTTCGATTAAATTGCTCCTCTTCCATCCCCCTTCCCCCTCCATAATACGAAATCGTGAACCATATTTTAAAAATAAATTACCTCATTTTTTATATTTCACGATAACGATGCCAAATATCAACAGCCTACCGAAACCAAATGACATGTATTTTGTTATAAATATTGTAAATGACAGATACAAACAGGTTTTATTCTCAACTGTGCTCTCTTCCTAATATTATAATTTTCAGGTAAATAAACTCAATTAACTTGAATCTGTATAAATAAACTGAATCTATTTCCGCTCCAACTCAGAATGCATGTATGTATATAACCTGTAATATAATCTCGGTCCACGTATGAGACTAATTACAACATCTGTACTTTGGCTAGACGATACAGATAAACGGCTAGATACTACATCACTGCAAACTTTCCACCCACATGAAGATAACACGAAATAATAGAACTTTATTTTGCTCAAAGCGACTTAAGTATTCACTCACCTCTGCGATAGATATATGTATACGCATAAAAATAACCCATTGGACTCTGTGTTAGAAAAAAAATACTCCTATTGTCGCTTTTAACGCAATAACATCTCAATTACAAACTACAGCTACTTTGTTTTCAATTACTCCGGCTCAGTAGTGTGAGTCACGTAGGTAGGTAGGTAGATAAGGTTTTAGGGCGACCTTGTGCCTTAAAAGGCCTATATGCGCCCAACAAACTGTTATATTTATGTTCAGTTAAATTACGCCGTACTTCCCCGTTTTAACGAGGAAGTCTAAGACAGCTCTTTGTATGTAACCATACATTAAATTATCTAAGGCACGTCAATTCGATGCAGAGTTAAGTCCCTTTGGCACGCCAGAATTCGCATCGCAGTTGCCTCAATTATGGTTTTAACCTAACCGTTTTGGTTTTACAAAAGTGGTAAATGTATCCCTTTCCTCTCACATTAAGCTCATACGACGTGATATAACTTGTGAATGAGTGAATGAGTATGGTTTTACGCCGCTCTTAGCAATATTCCAGAAATATCACAGCAAGGGGCATCAGAAATGGGCTTCACACATTTTACACATGTGAGTCTTCAGCGCGTTGAGCGGACGCTTTAACCATTAGGCAACCCCACCCCGTGAAGTCCGGGTTAGAATTGATCTTCAGTAACCCACGCTTGTCGTAAGAGGCGACTAACGGGATCGGGTGGTCAGGCTCGCTGACTGGGTTGACACATGTCATCGCATCCCAATTGCGTAGATCGATGTTCATGCTGTTGATCACTGGATTGTCTGGTCCAGACTCGATTATTAACAGATCGCCGCCATATAGCTGGAATATTGCTGTGTGCGGCGTAAAAATAAACTCACTCACTTACTAGCCCTCCCCCCACCCACCCCGATATAACTTCAATACTGATGAAAGCAATAAGAGTTCAACTCACGTACTCACTAACTGTCATTGAAGTAACATCCATTCTTATTCAGAACTTCTCCAAGAGCCAATGTGAAAATTCAAGATGGATGCCAGGCCACCCGACCTACACGACGCGTGTCGAGATGGGAACGAGGCTGAGGTACAAAGTATCCTGTCACGTGACTCAGTAGGCATCGACAGAAGAGGCCCGAATGCCAAGACACCGGTTCTTATAGCAGCAGAACGGGGCGTCAAACCGATATATGATCTGCTGATAAACCGTGGATGTGATATTTCTAAAACCGATGACAACAACAACAACATCCTCCACGCTGCGTGTAAAGGGGGCAACGTGGACATCGTTGAAGATGTCATTTCCCGAGACGCTGCACTGCTGAACAGAGGAGGACATCACCGAAAAACGCCGGTTATGCTCGCAGTCGAGCATTGCCATGAAGTCGTTTTTCATCTGTTGTTAGATAACGGTTGTGACCCGAAAACAGCGGACGCTCTTGGTTACACAGTACTTCACTGGGCCTGTCTTGGTGGAAGTCCTAGCATCGTTAAACACCTTCTGTCTCAAGGAAACATTGACATCAACGTCAAAGGCACCGATGGCGTCACGCCCGTGATGGCCGCTGGAAGAAATGGACATGAACAGGTTTTCGACATGCTTGTCGAACAAGGGTGCGATTTGTCCATCGTGGATGGTCATTCTAATACCGTCCTTCATCACGCAAGTCGCGGTGGGTGTTTAGCCATTGTGGAATTCATTCTAACACAGGATGTTGTTGCTATCAACAAGAGAGGAAAGAACGGATTATCACCTGTGATGATTGCTGCAGAGAAGGGACACAAGGATATTTTCTACCTTCTTATCAATAAAGAGTGTGATCTGAAGGGAGTCAGCAAGCTTGGCAACAATATCCTGCACTGTGCTGCTTGTGGGGGATGTGTGGAAGTTGTGGAGTATCTTCTGTCGCGGAGAACCGTGGACATCAACAGCAAGGGCTGTGGAGGTATCACACCTGTGCTGATGGCTGCTTTGATGAATCAGCACGAGGTGTTCCTACTGCTGGTGAACACGGGGTGTGATCTGACCGTTACGGACGCCAACAACGACAACGTGCTTCACCAAGCGTGTCGAGGAGGAGCCACAAGCATCATCGAGTACGTCCTGTCACAAGACATCGCGGATATAAATGGGAAGGGAAGAAACCGTTTGACTCCTGTCATGATTGCCGCTGAGAAGGCCCACAAAGACATATTCTATCTCCTTCTTAGTAAAGGAAGCGACCTCTCTGGGAAGAGTGTATACGGGGACTATATACTTCACTGTGCCTCCATTGGAGGCAATGTTGAGATCATTGAGTACCTTCTGTCCCAGGGAGTCGATGACATCAATAGTAAAGGACAGCTTGGAGCGACGCCTGTCATGATGGCAGCTCAGAAGGTGCGGAGAGAAGCGTTTGGGCTGCTTGTGAGCAGAGGAAGTGATCCGGCTGTTGTGGATGAGAACAATGACAGTCTTCTTCACCATGCGTGTTCAGGAGGCTGTGTAGATATAGTGGAGTATGTCATGTCTGTGAGCAGAATCGACATCAACCGACGAGGACAACATGGACTGACGCCAATCATGATGGCTGCATACAAAGGCAACTCGTTGGCCTTTCATGCACTTGCTGAAGTTCAGTGCGATATGTCCCTGAAGTCTGACAGCAATTTAAACATATTTCATATAGCCTGTATTTCAGGCAATGTTGAAATTGTGGAATATCTTATGTCAAATGGTGCCGATATGCATTTAGAGGGTGGAGAACATGACAGAACGCCCATTTCTATGGCTGCAATGAGAGGCCATCGGGTGGTTTTCGATTTACTTGTCAAGGAAGGTTGTTGCATTACAGATGTGGATGCAGACAGCAATAATATTCTCCATCACGCAGTCATCGGTGGAAACAAGGAGATTGTTGAGTATCTTCTTGCAAATGAAATATTTGACATTAACTCTCCAGGGCAGTTTTTGAGAACTCCTGTAATGATGGCAGCCGAAAATGGCAGAAAACCTGTGTTTGAGCTGCTTGTTAAAAAGGGGTGTGATCTGACCCTCGTGGACGAGAGTGGGAACAATATCCTCCATGCAGCATGTTGCGGTGGGAATCTAGACATTGTGGAATATGTGCTTTCGAGGGATCTTCTGGACATCAACGCTCGGGGAGCGGGTGGAAACCCGATTGAAGTAGCCGAGACAAACGGATATAAGGATGTCGTAGATTTATTGAAGCGGAAAGGAGGCAAGGCACACCGTTGTGTTATATCTTAGGGACATGAACACAGCGGGGCAAAACGTTTGAATCTGGGCTGGAGATTGGCCCTTTGCTTCCAGAGACTCTGATCTTGAAGTTAGAATGGAACATGGGCTGGAGCGAGGCTGGAACTGGGATTGAAAATGGGATTGGAACTGGTGATGGAACTGGGATTGAAATTAGGGGTTGGAGCTAGGGTTGGACCCGAGGTGGTACTAAAATTGGAAACGAGATGTGCGTTTCGTTTGGAGTTCATTATTACAATGGAATTGGAGTTGCACTGAAGCGGTTAGTTGGTTGGTTGGTTGGTTGTTGTTGTTGTTTAACGCCGCACTCGACAATATTCCAGCAATATGGAGGGGGTAAATAATCAAGTCCGGACCAGACAATACAGTGATCAACAGCAAGATCATCGATCTACGCAATTGGGATACGATGATATGTATTTCTATTGTTGTATTGACTTAAACTGGTCATGGGGTGTTACAGTCTTAGGTTGTGTGGGGAATAGAAGCTGAAAATGGATATTTGTCTTTAGGTTTAGGGTAGAAATGGGGTTGGACCGAGGAACCACGGTTTAATCGTTAACATGGGGTTGGGATCGGAAGGGGCTGGTTGAGGTGAGAGCTTGAGCTGGGACAGGTTACGATGGGGTTTAAAGGGGGGAAGGTGGTGACGATGGGGTTTTAATGGGGGTTGGTGCAGCTGGATCTGGAACTTGTGTTTAGAATGGGGTTGGATTCAAGTTGGAGCCGGAACTGGGATTTGAGTGAGTGAGTTTGGTTTTACGCCGCTTTTAGCAATAGTCCAGCAATGTCACGACTCGGACACCAGAAATGGGGTTCACACGTTGTACCCAGCTGGGGAATCGATCCTGGGTCTTTGGCGTGATGAGCCAACGCTTTAACCACAAGGCTACCGCCCCGCTCTCGAGCAAGGAATGTACACCTGTTTGAGGTTTTCTTAGAACAAGCTGATTGAGAAATTGTGATAGTGATGTATTCGAAATGTGTATAATGGTTGTGTTTCGGACCTCATGTCTTTCGTGTTTCAGTGGCTGTTACTAACGTACGTCTTGATAACTTTTGTAAGTTTGGAGTGAAATCCAGGTTTCAAGTCTTTCCTTTCATCTGCAAGGCGGTTCGGTGATTAAAGATACACAGGACATTATGGAAACTTTCAAATTTAAGCTTGCTTCTAATCACGTATCTATCTTTAATAAATCACATTTAAACTCGAGAATGTTTTAATTCTCGGGGAGGCGGGAGATTATTTTTTTACTAAAAAAGCTATTTATTCTCAAACTGGTCTTGATTTTACAGAAAATCAAATAAGCAAATACTGACTGACTTTTCATGTTATGTGTTTATATTAAAGTTGTGTGAAGATCACTATTACACAAACGTGTTGTTTTGTAAATTTTGAAGGGGCAATAATCGTGTCCTTCATAAATCTATTTCTATCAACAAACACTGTATTTTCGTTAGGGACCATCCCTTAGCTTTCTGTAAGGTGGTCTGTACATATCGAGTTTGGACCAGACAATCCTGTGATCAATAGCATGGGCATCGTTCTACACAATTGTCAACGATGACATGCGTCAACCAAGTCAGCAAGCCTGACCACCCGATCCCGCTAGTTGCCTCAGCATGGGTTACTGGAGACCAATAATTCTAACCCGGATCTTCACGGGTTTAGAAAGCGTGCGTGCGTGTATAAGCAATAAATATATAAAATATGAATCCAGATATTTCTTCTTGCCAAATCTCCTTTATATCTGCACAAGACCTTTCGCCGTTCAACGGGTCTTCAGGTGTACAATGAAAGCTTTCATTACACGGAGAGTTATATTTCCATAACATATTATCACACCCACATACGCTTTCTTCTCAATTTACACACTGTTTATTTTGCAGTTAGACCAGAGACAATATATTATTTGGTCTCTGACTGACTGACTGAGTGAGTTTGGTTTTACGCCGCTTTTAGCAATATTCCAGCAACATCACGGTGGGTGACACCAGAAATGGGCTTCTCATATTGTACCCATGTGGGGATTCGAACCCGGGTTTTCGGCGTGACGAGCTAACGCTTTAACCACTAGGCTACCCCACGACCCTATATGGTCTCTGGTTAAACTGACTTATTTATACTCCAACAACATCAATCACGTAACAGAGGGTGGAATATAATTATGCAAAATCGATATTCCAGAAACCATGTAAGAAATTATTATATGGTCTCTTTGATATATCTAACTAAATTTACAAAAGTGTTACCGGATATAAAATATTGTGGTAAGTATGTGTTGACAAGACCGTTGACCATGCACGTCCACAACACGAGCCAAGTCTAGATTTCCAGTTTCTGAAAATAAAGAAACTATCTGGGCCTCTTTTTATTACTTATGTATACAATTTAGAAACCGATTGTTCTGTAGAATGTGTTCATTTCAGAGACAAGGTACTCTCCGCAGTCAAGGGTGGGTAACTCTGGTAATAAGTCAACTATGCCAAGCTGGGCCCCGTCTCTCATATTGGAGTATAACTTTGGTGAGAGTTGACCTGCGCAAAGGGAGGCGGGGACCAGCTTAAGCGCTAAGATCGAGTCGCGTGCTAACACTGGAACCAGTGTAGTAGACTGGTTCCCGAAACGTTGTATGTGCGTTAGCTGGGCTCCGTCTAGCATATCGTAATATGCGGAAAGGGAGCCAGGAACAAGTTTAGTTGAAGCTGGAACCAGTTTAGGTATTTATTGTTTAGAGCTCTGAGCACGCACCGTCGCTGTGGAGAGGTTGATCCATCCAAAACGCTCTGAATCATTTCAAAAGCAACAATGCCACGAATGAAAGTGACCGGACGTAAGAAACGCATTATCCCTGCTAAGAAAACGACCTCAGAAAGCGAAGCTCAAAGCGGACCTTCAAGAAAAAAAGCACAAGGACGGCGACAGTCGACGCTTCCACTGGGCAGCAGTCGCCGAACTCCAAAGAAAGCTTTTGGCGAGATGACAGCCACTAGCACGGATACAAATGAAAGAGGTTTGAAAAATAATATTGCATATTTACAGTCTCAAATGGTCAATTGGTAAGAGTTCCGCCCGTAACCCCCGCTTGAAATGTATTCTATTTATTAGGAGTATTTCGAGGGGTTAGGTTTAGGCTTTTTATAAAAAAATATTTTTGACAATTTTCACTGAAAATTAATAACAGAGATATTCAGTTTTAGTTTTCAAATAGAAAATCTATGCAAAATTGTGTTCTTAAAGGTCACATGCAACCAAAAAATCAAACATAATTAAAACACAATTATCACTTCTTCATGACATATAATATGCATTGCTGATTATGAAAAACAAATAAGTTCACCCCAGGCAATTTTAATATCGATGAAAGGGACTATCAACTGATGTAACACCACCCAAAATCGTCGCCGGGAAAATTATAAAGTCATCACAGATCAGGCAGTTGTTGACAGGATAGCCGAGCACAAGAAACAGCATATAATCATCGTTGTCCACATCGTCCCTGTTGTCTAAAGGGAATTCTGGCCAGAATAAGTCAAAAAGGAAAGGACCATGCGCCAAGAAAGCGCGCTCCGCCCCCATCAACAACCTTCTCAGACAGGTTTTTCCGATCAAAAGTGCAATATTTTGTACTTGGGTTTACCTCCCATGGATATTCTCGAAAAACGAAGCAGCCAAATATAGAGGTTATACCGAGCCCAGAGAATCATCATCTTGGCTAGCATTACTTTGTCTTGGGTGGGTGGTGCACTCAAGTCGTAACGGCTGGTTCATTAGCAGATGCTGCCTTCGACGGCTCATTGTGTGTGTATATATATTAGAGATGTTGGGTTTTGTAAATACATGCTCATTTTTAGTATATAACATATAACATTTTGCAATCAACAGACATCATAACATGTCATGTGTTCAAGTATCACACCTGCCTGTCTGTGTAATTACATAATGTGACAGAGACCGAACTCGGGCCATAAATCAATGCGTTTTGTTTATGGTGTATAGCCTGATTGGTGTTAAGTTCAAATTGCATGTGGTCAGTGATCGCAGTTGTGTATTGAATATTGTCATTAGCAGACAGGCAGGCAGACACACAGGTGTCAATAAAACAAGACATTGAGTTTTGTCTGTGACAGTGACATATCTATATCACAGTTAGAAATTGTGTCAACGCTAAATAATGACATTGCTTTTAAGTATCGAACTGAGAAAGTGACTCGGTAAGAAGAACGTGTGGTGAAATAGACAAATGAAATTATATAAACAGTTTATTTACTGTCATAACATATAAAAAGCTCGGCCTGTGAGATATCAACAAAACATTATGAAAATAGCTCACACCAAAGCCTTCACCGAGTATTCACCAGACAGCCCGCTTCCAAGTTGCGCGAACCTATTTCACTGCGCACGTGCTATGAGCGCAGCCCAGCTGTTGAAACCCGTATTCCCCAGAAAAGTCTGGGGAAAATTAGTGAAACGTTTGAACTCCGATTTCGCGCGTTTTTTTTCATCGCGTTATTTTTCAACTTTATAAGTTGATTTTGCATTTTTGACGCTTTGTTTCGGTAAGTCCATACCGAAAGGTATCAGAATCTGCAAAGTTGTGTTTTACGTTGCATGTGACCTTTAATGAAACATCATTTCCTGAACATGATATAAATTTCCATTTTGTCCAAAAACTTATTTTTTTCAAGCTCAGGATCGAGGTCCATTAACTATTCATCTCTATTCGATCATGTAAAACCTATTCGTGCGGAAATTGAAAGTTTGCGAAATAATTAGAAAAATGTTCAAATATAGCCCGATTGGCCTATAACAAAATAGGCAGAACGGCCTATAATATCAGGTTTGGCCTAATATAGGCCAATTGGTAGGTTTCCCCAATCTGTCTGAATATCTGTAATTTTGATAGTAACAAATAAACCCTATTTAATTTGAAAAAGAGCCCCTGGGAAATACAGAACCTGAGGAAGTCTAGACTTGATTCATTTAAATGGCGGTAGCATTGTAGTGGAGGGATAGGCAGTAGGAAAAATAATGTGGTTCAGGGACTGTGAGACAGAATATTAACTGATGCAAACATGTTTCGTCTCTCACCAGATGAACAGATAAGACATCCGCCCGTATCCCCCCCAAATTTTAACGATGAGGAAAAACTTCATTGAGTGGCATTTTTAGAACTTGGATTTGTCTTTCTGTATGTTCCGATACGATTAAAGAAACATGTTAAAACTCATCCTTATCAGATGAGGAATATATATTCAGGTGATATAATTTGACTTGAATGAAATTTAAGGGGGGATTCAGGCGGAAGTCTTTCCGATAAACAGTGAGTTTAGTTTTACGCCCACTCAGCAATATTCCAGCTATATGGCGGCGGTCTGTAAATAATCGAGTCTTGACCAGACAATCCAGTGATCAACAGCATAAGCATCGATCTGTGCAATTGGGAACCGATGACATATGTCAACCAAGCCAGCGAGCGAGCCTGACCACCCGATCCGTTAGTCGCCTCATACAACAAGCATGGGTTACTGAAGGTTCATTCTAACCTGGACCTTCACGGGTCTCCGATAAACAGATTGATTAGTGGTGGAAACGTTCTTTATACGAACGTATGTTGGGAAGTCGCTTGCCACTCTTTTATTAGTTGCAAAGGTGTTGACACGGTGTCTGCATCTTTCAAAATGGGTGGGAGGGTAGGCATCCTCAATAATCTCCAGGGTATACGTTCCAATAATAAATCTCCACTATTCCCTGGATGCATCTACGGCTCGAGTAGATGATTTTATTACCTCCCTTTGCTGGCTCCGAATTCTCACAGTAGCCAATAAGATAAGCCGCCGTTACAACCGAGCTTGCCAGTGTCAAAGATGGCGGTCGCAGCCGTGAAAGTTTGTTAGCAGTGCAACTCAGATTTGGGGAAAACATACAGACAAATTGACAGGTCTGAAATCTTAAAAAATATATGCAAGAACTCCTTCTACCTCTTTCAATATTTTAACAATATATTTTTGTGTTGCCAAGTTTAATTGGTTAGATAATTTAAAAAGCGAAAGTGAGTTTTGATTGGTACGCTCATCTTCCCAGCGTAGACACCTGATTGGATAAAAAGCCAACCAAGGGAGGTAATAAAATCACCGGCTCGAGACGTAGATGCATCCAGGGTATAGTGGAGATTTATTGGAATGTATACGGATGGAGGGTAGGGTGCAAGAAACTTTTAATGCACTAATTTACTGAAAATATGACCCTCCTCTAATCATTCTGCACTTGTCCTATCTTTGTTAGATCCTCTCAATGTCATTGTGTAGTATTTTCATCGCAGTTCCTGAAAATGAAAATGCAAAATTAACTAACTACAAGTATTGATCACTGGATTGCTGGTCCAGCCATATATATGCAGGCATCATATACTATAGCAAAGGTGTTGCAAAGTGCTGTTTGACACCACTAGCGAACAACAATGCAGTTTGCTTATGTTCTTACTGCCGCTATTACAGACGAATCTGTTTTGAAATTAAAACCATTTGCCCAAAGGTTACTGAGCAAATTGATTTACTTTTCAGAGAACCGATCAGCGCGCCAGTGAGACTGAGGGTGGCACCAAAATCGCTTAAAACCTGGAAGCCCCTAAGGACTTCTACGAAGAAATATGCCCTGCAACTCTACGACACTGCTGTTGAGTAAGTGGTGTCTACGTTGTATAAGAACATGCATATGTTGTTGTTGAAACATGACAACAAGGCTTTTGGCTTAAAATGCAAAACCTTCGTCTTTTCCTTTCATTGAAGTTATACATTTTCGACTCAAGCTGGGGAGTATTAACTTATGAACTGTCTAACTATAAGAAATAACGGAAAGAATAGGTAAATATTGGGTTTCCTGTGGGTGAAAGACATAATGTACAGTCAGGGGGGATCTGAGCACAGATTTACTCTATGCCCCAGAGGTACCGAATTGACTCAGAAAATAAACATGTTGTATACTGAGGGATGTACAAAATATTTATTGTACTAAATTCTTGACAGTAAATATGTGGTCCCTGTAATCAAAATACCAAACTAGATCCTGGTAATGCCCTGTCACTACCTTTGACATAACACTCACTAAGAATTAATTATGGTACACCCAGTAAGCGCAATAAGCACCCGTTCTGGAAGTTTGTTGAAAAAATAAGCTCTTGGGTGCTTAGTAGAGGAAATACTGTAGTTACTAAATCTTGTACCACGCCTGAGTGTCGGTTCCTTTGATCTTACCCGTGGTGTATGTGCTGGAAGACAACAGTTTTGTCTTGAAGGCAGATTTCGTCTGCCATTGGCTCCTAAAAGCCACGCCCCACGGCAAGAGGACTGAACTCAACATTGTTCAACATTGTACCTGAAAGTCCCCAACCATTAGAGTGTCTACATCGTACTCATTCACTGTTTGTGAAAGAGTGAGCTGGGAAAGTCCCTCAAATGCATGAAATTCATTTTCCATGACTGATGCGATCTGTGACTGTGTGAAGTCGTCTATGTCCTCGTCCCACACTACATGTGCACTCATTTTGGCAACTAGACTGAGAATGAAACGGTCGTTAAACTTTAAAATTCCGCTTCCCATACATAATAGGCGTGGTACAAGTCAGTTAGCTCATCAAATCCTCGATTTGTGCTCGTATACAACACAGTTTTGCCGGAGTTGATTGACAGGTGTTGAGGAAGCTCGAGCAAAGCTCTCGCGTCTCCCACCTGTCCATCAACTCCGGCAAAACTGTGGTGTATACGAGCACAGATCTCGGTTTGAAATGATCTAACTAATAATTATATTTCAGTACGCATCACAATTTCATTACTTTACAGGACTCTCATATTTCAAACCCCTTGAAATTAGTAAACAGGGTCTTCTGGGTTCCTGGGTTTGTAGATATAGGTCAAGGTAAACCCTGTGAGATTGAATCCCCTTTCATCAGCTACCGAGGTTTGATTCATGTCATGGAATTATCATGTAAAGTACTTGTGACATGTCACCAGTTAACATTAAAAATACTACTTGATTCTGTCTAACATTTGTTTGATCACTCGATCGATCTTTTGTCGGACGAAATATTGAACATCATCCTACAATGTGAGCTAGATCTGTACGCCTGAACGGGAGATGCATGTCTCAGCTACCCAGACTGTAGTGTCTTGACTTCGGCATTACATATACGAAATCTTACCTGTTCACCTCACAAATTTTCACGTACTTGGACTCATAATGTTTATCAACATTTTGAAGAAACTCTCACCATGATCTATAGCAAAGTTACTCCACTAAATTTTTATTCATAAATATCCAACTTCACAACTTGCAGAATACAAGGTTCATCACAGAGCAAACAATGAAAGTGTGCAATCCGAGATTGAGAAACCTGTTTATTCACGCTTTTGGGATTTTATGGGACGCTTTAATCACCCCTCCTCGTGTTTACACCTGGTCGGGTTGGTTCCGCGGTGATTGAAATAATTTGGTTTAACCGCTTCTTGGTGGCATAGTACCACAAAGAACAATCGTATTGCAAACAAGAATAGGCTGTCTCTCGTACACATTACGTCTGATGGTTAGAGGCAGAGAAGATCTGGGAAATCATGACATTCCCCCAGAATCCCATTGGGAAGCTGACAACTCTTTGGATGTGATATGTGTGTCTGAATGCTGCAGATTGTCTGTAATTTAGTGTAAATATGTTTATCAATGTTGTTTTTCAGAATGTTGCTGTCAAGAACCAGTGACAATGTTTTGGCAGATGTCCAAAAGCATCTGTCTCAGGGCCGACGAAAGTAAGACTCAGTAGCCAAACTAAATACACTGGCTTCTTCTTTTACTCTTCATTTGGTCACCAATCAGCAGGTGGAAATTATTAGTGAGACAGTTAGAACATATTAAAGATATGCCATATTCCTTTCACCAAGTGAATACTCATTGAAACAGAGGCATAGATGGCCCAGTTGTCTAAGGTACCGCAGTTTGAGGTACAGAGTTGTGTCCCTTGGTGAAGCCAGGAACAAGTGAGTGTGGGTTGAATAATGGGATTCGTCAACATTTGTCACCACTGCTGATGGTCTTCCCACATAAAGGTGACATGCCTTATATACTTTTCACAGCTGAGTGATACAATAGGTCTGAGGGGTATTTGTTTCATGATAAAATATAGTCTGAGATAAGGACCTACTTAAAGGCACATTGTCACACATTTTCGACAGTATTATCGCCTATATTATATATATTGGGGCATTAGCTTCCTATTGATGCACTAAAAGATTTATTAACCCTTATGACTTGCCTGAAATCGATAATTGAAACTTCGAGGTGAACAGTTTCCAAACAGTTCACACTTACCATACATGGAATGTAACCAATTGAACCGTACATCGAAAACTGTCGCACGCGGTGTTGTCGGTGTTTGCCGAACTGGTTTCAATCACAAGTTGTGTGCGTAGGATATTTGTAGAGATTGCTCCATGGGACGAAACTCTATGGGGTTCGCTTGACATAATGTTCGGCCGGTAGTCGATTTAATGCAACGTTGCATTAATTCATTTGAACTTTTTAATTCAATAGTGTAATCTAAATACGTAATTTTTGTTGTTGAATAAATTATATGGTAGCTTCCCTGAGGGCTGATAGTAGTATTGAGAGAAATGCATTATTTATTTTTAGAGAAGTTTGGTGTGACGTAGTGCCTTTAATACTTTCAGTTATATAGGGTTTGACACATACGCAGTATAATTAGGGGTGGGTAATGCAGGGAATTTTCATATTGCGATATATTGCGATGCATGTATTGCAATATATTGCAATGGTTTTTTTTAACAAAAATCTACTTATTATCGAGGTAATGCTTGATTTATAAAGCAAACACTCAACAAAATCACCATGCTTGATTAGACTTTAATAAAAATCTTTAATCATGACAAAAAATGTAAATAATGTTTGGCACAAATGAAACAAGGAAAGGAACAATATTAAAAAACGGAAATATCCGAAGATTTCCGAGATTTCCGAAGTTTTCCGAATGCATGTCAATATACCGGTTTTCGATCAGTGTATCGCAATACGTATCGTTTTCATTTCTGAACCGGTAAATACCAGTAAACCGCTTATATTGCGCAGCCCTAAGTATAGTCACTTAATAATAAATAATCAGGGGCCAAGTTTTCCTTTGAAGCAACTGTAAGCTCAACACAATGATGTATGACAGTAATATCACTACACTGTGCAATGAAACTGTAATCCTTTATGAAACAAGTAAATTTGAGGTAAAATTTACACAATAAAGGCATTTTTAATGCTAATTTCAGTTATGATGTCAAGTGTTTGCAATAATTATACAAATATGAGGATAACACCATATCTGGGCAGTGTTTGACTTCCATCATGTCTATAAGCTTGTTGCGGAATCTGGGGAGAAATCTAAAGTAATTGTTTATCTTTCATCAGGATGGTAGGGGTAGCCTAGTAACTAAAGTGTTTACTCGTCACGCCGAATGCCCGGGTTCAATTACCCGCTTGGGCACAATGTATGAAGCCTATTTCTGGTGTCCCCTGCAATGATATTGTAAAGTAAAACCATATTCACATCCAATCTGTTGGTCCCTCTCAATGAACGCTTTGATGAAGTTGCTGAATTTACAGTTATGATAAATGTGTTCAGCACATCAAAATTAAACAAAAGTGGCGTAAAACCATAATCACTCACTATCTTTTATCAGCTGATGGTAATATTATGGTTTCTATGTGTTTGACAGGTTTGCGGACAAGCTGGAGAAGTCGACCGGTCCAGTAAACAACTTCACAAACTACAATAATCTTCATAAAATCCTTGTAAGTAAATCAGACCAAGGACAGCTGTGATGCCCAGGGCCTAGATTTTCAAAGCTCTCTTAACGCTAAGATAGTCGTAAGTTCCATACATTAACTTACGACTGTCTTAGCGCTAAGAGAGCTTCGAAAATATAGGCCCTAAAGTGAGGTTTTATGCCACACTCAGCAATATTCCAGCTATATGGCGGTGGTCTGTAAATAATGGAGTCTGCACAATTGGGATACAATGACATGGGTTAAAGAATTCAGCGAGCCTGACCACCCGATCCCGTTAGTTGCTTCTTAAACCAGCATGGGTCACTGAAGACCAATTCTAACCCAGATCTATGCAGGTCTGTACTCTGGACCACCGAACAGCTTAAAACCTCATTACGAGTATTCCTTACCCTGGTAGTTTGAATACTTGCTGTTGTATTTTCTGTCTTTTAAATTTAACTTTTGCATTGTCTAAGAAGATAGTGCTCTGCTTCCATCATTCATTAAATATGGAAGTTTGGTTAAGTTTTTATTTGATGAGAATGGTACTAACCTAACTGGTTTTCATGGATTTTCATCATGCATGGTGGGATTGTAACAATCACACAAATAGATTGTAACGGATGCTATTAATTATTCATGAACACATGCCATGGCAATCTATGGAAAAATCTGTTTGTAACCTTTATCCGGTTAATATGGTTTGATATGTAATCAAATTTTGCTCCATGTGTCGTTATTGATGGGACTGAATCCTCATGTACCTTTTTCTTAATTCAAGTTTTGCAATTCTCCTAGATTCTTACCCGTGAAGGTCTGGGTTAGAATGAAGCTTTAGTAACCCATGCTTGTCGTAAGAGGCGACTAACAGGATCGGGTGGTCAGGCTCGCTGGCTTGGTTGACACATGTCATTGGTTTCCAGTTGCGCAGGTCGATGCTCATGCTGTTGATCACTGGATTGTCTGGTCCAGACTCTATTATTAACAGACATTGTGAGCTAGTTCCCCTTCAACATACAAGATGACCAAAACAGGCCTGAATAGACAAAAGATTATTATGTACAAGCGAGAGAAGACATTTGGTCACCAGTTACAAAAAGTGAGTGAGTTTATGCGGATTAATGCTGCTTTCAACAATATTGCTGCAATATCACTTTGCGGAACACTAAAAGCACTTCACACATTCCTATCCATGTCTCTTAGATGCATTATTGTAAACCCTATGTTTTATCCACTAGGCTACCCTACTGCCCTGGCCCAAAAGCGTAGTCAATCACACAACCTCAAACACTGCACTCATCCTGTGACTACCCATGAAGGTCCAGTAACCCATGCTGACTCTAAGGTGGTTTGGAATCCTGATGGGACTCAACCCAACAAAAGTACTAGAAACTGTACTTTACTAAGAAAGTGTAATCCCAAATATAACATATGTAATAATATGAACAACACGTTAGTCATACACTGTGACTTGTATCTTGAACAGAAACAATAATGAGCGCTAATCATTGTAAAATCCTGAGGTATCTATTGTCAAATAAAAACATTCCGATTGCTTCTTGGAATTCATGGCCATGATCACTTGAATGCCTTTCCTGGGTGTACTCAAAAATGTAATAAACCTGTTGAAAAACAAGAAAACATGTTGATAGGTCCTGGCCGACGTTCTGAAATCTGTGGGCCAATTGGTTTTGTGAAAAGCCGGATGCATCCCTGCATTACCTCAGATCGGTCAAAGTGTGAACATAGGCCTGACCTGGACACCTGGGCCTCGATTTTCGAAGCCCTCTTAGTGCTAAGATAGTTGTAAGGTTATGTTAATGTATGGCACTTACAACTATCACAGTGCTAACAGAGCCTCGAAAATCTATACCCTGGACTCTGGAGAATTTTGAAACTTTGACTCTGTTTATGTAAGCTATTAGACTGGCCATGTGTTTTCAGCATCTGTTGTACATTTCAGAACTCCCAGGAAGATGCTGATGAGAAGATGGAGGAGATGCTGCAGAAGCAGCTGGATAAGGAGGAGAGGTAACAAATCCAGACTTGCTCTTCTCATTATTCTGTACCACCTAAGGATTCTCATTCTCAAAAAGTCTTTTGAAAGAACATATCAAACACCCTTTGTATACATGAAGCTTGTCGACCTAATGGATGACAACTTTTGTTTGTTGCATAGAGCGACGTTTCGGTGAAGACTCTTACACCGTTGTCAAGCTGACATTATTGACTCACCAACTTCTAGAATGCTGATCAAACAATCCCCTTTTGCTGGAATCCATTATTTATAGATAACAGCAGGAATGTTGCTGGGTGTGGCTATAAACAGCAAATAGCAACACCACCAAATACAATGTGTTTATATTGGCCAGAGATTATATAACTTGTTTGAGTGGCATTCTAGATGTTGGTGGTATAGGGATGACAAGACTTGACTTTATGGATGATCAGCTTCTTCATTATGACAATGGCGACGTTTCGGTATAGATCTCATACAGATTGTATACTACTCAAAAGAAATTAAAGAACAACCAAATGTGTTTTTTAACTATAGTCAGTCAGTCATGGATGGAGATAACACAACCTTCCAACTGTCAGTATTCTTAATTAGTTTTGAGTAGTATTTTTCAGGAACTGAACATGTATTTAGTCTGTGGTCAGTCATGTCTGTAAAGCAAACTTTAGAAACATGTGATTTCAGTATTGTTTATGTGGGTCTCATCATCTCCCCTTGATTTTTGTGAACCTTTACTCAACCAATCAAACATTGAGATACGGTTAATGAAATCAGAGCTCCAGATAAGATTTAGCTCATGTGGGTACTGTACCCACTGTATTTTTTGGAGTGGGTATTATGAATGTTGAGTGGGTATTTCATTTTCCGTTACCCACTGCTTTCAAACATGTGTGTATTTCAGTCATTTTACTCACCTAAGTATTATGTGACTGAGTAAGTTTACTAAGCAGGTATGTTCTGCCTTATGACTATGTCATACCTAATCAAAACCAACTTAAATATAATGGAAATGTTCATTAAAAATCCCTCATCCTAAATGGACTGTACAGCACTTGTCCTATACTAATAGTACAACTTGATAGCAATCGATGTCTTTTTCATTACATAAAGCGATTTTTAAAAATATTCCGTCGCATTTGTTTTAAACGTTTTGCGTATCTAACATTTTAAATGCGCTATTGGTACGCAACAATTATTTTTCAATGCGTAATTGGAAATTTAAATGCGTATTTTACCCGGATACGCAGCTTATCTGGGCCTCTGGAAATGTGTCAGGGAGACGTGCCACTGCCAATTGTAATAGACATGAAGACATCCTTTCTGTTAAAGAGATGGCTGTCTTTTCCATTTCAGTCAGTTTTCATTATTGAATTCCTTGCAAACTTTGTCATAATCAATTAGACTTGCCTCCATGGTGTTCATACTGTCAACCCAACATTGATATTGGTTTGTAACATGCATTCTGATTGGTCCATTACTATGGGTAGCTCACAAATTAATTTGTCTTGTGATAACTCAAGGCAGGTAATTTGAGATCCAGAGATCAATGGGAGACGATCCAGTAGTTTGTGTAGGTTAACCTACAGGCGACTAACGGGATCAGGTGGTCAGGCTTGCTGATTGGTTGACACATGTCATCATATCCCAATTACGTAGATTGATGCTCATGATGTTGATCACAGGCCTGGCTGGTCCAGACCCGATATATAATACAGACCGCCGCTGTGTAGCTGGAATATTGCTGAGTGTGGCATTCTATCAACCAACCAACCAACACCCTGGAAATATATGGGATGTACTGTATTTGGAACTGTTGACAGGGAGTGCAAGGACATTGAGGAGGAGATGGAAACATGCAAGCTTTACGCTGATGGAGCATCACAGGTGAGATTTCAACATTATCATTATACAAACCGAAAACATACGTGAAGATCCGGGCTAGAATTGGTCTTCAGCAACCCATGCTTGTCGTAAGAGGTGACTAACGGGATCAGGTGGTCAGGCTTGCAGACTTGGTTGACACATGTCATCGTATCCCAGTTGCGCAGATGGATGCTCAAGCTGCTGATCACTGGATTGTTTGGTCCAGACTTGATTTAGTTACAAACTGTTGCCATATAGCTGGAATATTGTTGAATGTGGCGTTAAACAACAAACCAACCAACCATGTCCAAAAAGGCCTACCTATTTCAGAAGTTATTTGTCTGGGGTTCAGTTTGATCCAATCCAGATTCATCCTACTTGCGATAATTGGTTTGTCACCCTGACACTGGCTTTCACCAAAATGGTGAAACTAACTACTAAATACTTCATCATAGAGATTTTTATATCATACATCTTCTGGTGTATTCAGGTACACCTGGAAGCGGAAGGTCGTCTGGCCCCATCATCATCAGGCGTTTTACCTGATGATGGGGCCAGAACAAGCCCTTCTGAAACGTCAGTATAATTTGTCGAATAAAAAGAAGATGCAAACCCAGAAAAAAAATCTCTATGTTCATCAAATATCATCTTCTAAAATGCCAGTCAAGCATCTACTAAATACTTCATATCAGTCACAATATTGGGTTTATATCATGAAACAGATGAGAGTGCATAAATTCATTCATAAATATGAGTGGTCTTTGTTTGCAATGTATGTCTGAAAAATGACTGTTGCCAACACAGACTCACTTTGAATAGCAGAAATAACATTAAAAATAACGTTATTGAAGAGCAGTTTTGTTTGAGTGACATTCTAGAAGTTGGTGGTATAGGGATGACAAGACTTTATGGATGATCAAATTCTTTATTTTGACAATGGCGATGTTTCGGTACGGATTCTTATACCGTTTTCAAGGATATGGGGGAATAACATCCGTACCACTCAACATACGCATACTACACTCAGCGGAAATTGGCCGAGACATTACAAATACGCCGTTTTAACCCCTCTATTAACAGGGATCGGAGCTATTACATCCCCTCAGCTTACTGTTATGACCACCTAATCCACAAATAATTATCCACTCAACCCACCCTGGCTTCTCATCACCCCCCTAACTCACATTCCTCACACTGGCTTCCCACTAATTAATCCCCCACCACCTTGGCTTCTGCCTAATTAACTTACAGTCACTAATTGTCTTGGTAATCCCACTCATCTCATTTATGTTATCTTAGCTCATCATCATGCTATTGTAGCTCGTCATGTAACTTTCTTTGATGCTCTGTTTCCCACCCTTGTTATTGTTATCTCTTTATCTTATCTTGTATATAGACTGGTGTACCCCTTCATTCCCCCATATACTTGAAAACATTATATGAATCTATACCAAAACGTCGCTATTGTTAAAATAAAGAAGTTGATCATCCATAAAATCTTGTGATCCCTATAGAAGAGCAGTTGTAACAAGTTTACGCTTGTAACAATCTGCCATTTACACTAGAAATTGTATAACAGACACCCAGTGAGTCATCATTGCTGTTGTTAAAAGTTCTTGTCACTGGCGTCAAACTAGGGAGCCCAGACACACTAAACCCATACAATACAATGTCTTTGTTATTGGCAACTGAGGGGATTAGGGCAGCCCAGTGGTCAAATCGTTCACTTGTCATGCCTAAGACCGGGTTCGATTCCCCACTTAAAGTGGCTTAAAACCCAACTCACTCACCCTTGGTAACTGTGTCAAAGGCCAAGATGACCCAGTGTGCATTGATAAGCTTTTCCGTGCTTATCTTCCTAACTACAGTCTCCGTCTTGCCCTGACCCCTGAAGGTACGAGTTAGAATGAATCTTCAGTAACCAATACTTGTCGTAAGAGGCGATTAACGGGGTCGGGTGGTCAGATTCAATGGCTTGGTTGACACATGTCATCGGTTCCCAATTGTGCAGATGGATGCTCAAGCTGCTGATCACTGGATTGTTTGGTCCAGACTGGATTATTTACAGACTGTGGCCATATAGCTGGAATATTGCTGAGTGCGGCGTAAAACTAAACTCACTCACCCATTCACCTCATTGCATATTGTACAGCCCTGACATATCGTGACAAATATCTACAACTGTTATTTGCTGAAATACTGTTGAAATCGACTACCTGAATCCCTCACTCTTTCTCATTGATCAAGCTATCCCTCACAGCACTGCTTCCAATACTTGATGGGTTACAGCCTAGGACACGTTCAAAATTTCTGTCTTCACATTGATTTGAGACGTTCACACAAGTGGCACTAGTCCTGCAGCCATAGTCCTTGCGTCATAAGAAGGACTGGAAACTTGCCACTTTTATAGGTTTTGCTGTATGTGTTCCTTATGAAAGCTAGCGGACTAAAAATATATATGTCTTTGATTTACTTGCTCTGACATGCAACAAATCTTACATGTGAACTTTTTGTTTCAGCTCCACCCTCTCTTGCAGAGCAGAAATAAGGACTGACAAAAGATTTCATCATCTGTGACAGTCAGGATTTGAACTCAATTGCGAGTCTTCTCTTTCAAAGCGGGATTTAGGACTGTTGGAAGATGACAAGATCTGTGTCAGTGACAACCAGGATTTGATCTCAATCGCTAGTCTTCTCTTTCAAAGCAGAATTTAGGACTGTTGGAAGATGACAAGACTGTGTCAGTGACTGACAGGATTTGAACTCAAACGCTAGTCTTCTCTTTCAAAGCGTAACTGGGACTGTTGGAAGGTTTGAACTCAATCGCTATTCCTCTCTTTCAAAGCGGAATTTAGGGCTGTTGGAAGACAACAAGACTGTGTCAGTGACAGACAGGATTTGAACATTAGTCTGGCTACTTCTGTATAAAAGTGAACTTGGCTGGAGCAGCTTCTACTTATATAAGCTTTGGTCAGATGACCAATATACACTTGCAGATGTACATACAGACACAATCACCCAAGGGGTAATGGGGTCAGGTAATACTTGTTTAAACATGTTTTTATTGTTTGATTGTTGAGAACATCCAGCTTGTCCAACAAAGCATAGGTTGGTTTTTGTGTAAATCTTTTGAAGGATTGTTGTTGTTGTTGTTGTCCAGCTAAGTGGTTAAAGCAATCACTGTCACGGGGAAGACATCGTTTTTATTCACAAGGAAACACAGATGTAGACCCAGGACATTGGAAAAAGATTGGTGATTGGGGGTGGTGGAGGCAGATGCATAGCTACCATTACAAAAAACCCTAGCTTACACATGATTTATGCACACAAAAAAATCCCAACATTGTCCTTCTAGTTCTTGCCACAAATACCAACAAACGTGTTATTAGAACAATCTATTAAATGGTAATCCCACCATGAATCATATTGACTACAGTATTCTTTGATAGCAAAGCATTACCAATACAGTCACCATGTACAGTAAACATGTTATTCTTCATAATATTAGTTTGAAAGGTGTCTTTCTTTCAGTGATGGGGGCAGTGGGGTAGCCTAGTGGTTAAAGCGTTAGCTTCGTCACGCCGAAGACCCGGGTTCGAATCCCCACATGGGTACAATATGTGAAGCCCATTTCTGGTGTCCCCTGCCGTGATGTTGCTGGAATATTGCTAAAAGCGGCGTAAAACTAAACTCACTCACTCACTCTTTCAGTGATGATTATTTTTCCATCGACATGTATGTGAATGTTTTGTTACAAAACTGAATGCAGATATTTACAATCACCCTTTAACGAAAATGTATGCGTTACTCCATTCTGCAGGCTTTTAAAGGTTGCAACCAATCGGGCTTACATGAACAAATTGGTTTGCTTTCTGGTGCCCCGTCGAGGAATATTGTGCCCACTTGGCCAATTTTTTGTTTGTTTGTTGTTCAAATCTGCACTCAGCAGTGTTCAAACTAAATCATAAATGGTGACAGTCCGTATATAATCAAGTCTGGACCAGACACAGCCTGACCACCTGATCCCATTAGTAACCTCTTACAACAAGCATGGGTTGCTGAAGATAAAGTCTGCAATTTCATGGGTATGCTACTTTAGTGCATGCATCAATGGATCGTGGGGAAGTCCAAAAACTGTGTGTGAGTGTGCACAGAAGACCATGAAGCTTACCAATAAAATGTAAAAATCTTTTGTTTACACTTGAATTACTAATCAACTGAAGTCCAAAACAGAAATGCGAAAATGTATGTAAATGAAAAGCAGTTGGGGCCTTTATTAAAGTACATAGGGGTCGGTGGGGTAGCCTAATGGTTAAAACCAAACTCAGTCAGTTAGTATATAGTACATAGATATGTATAATAATAATCAAGTAAATTACTGATGTTGGCAATGAAAGGAATTATTTAAAATGATAATATGTAACTTATCCTGCTCCATATCCTGCACTTATTACTCAGGACTCAAATGTTTCTGCATGGGTGGTGGGATAGCCTAGTGATTAAAGCTTTGAGTGAGTGAATTCAGTTTTACGCCACACTCTGCAAGATTCAAGCTATGAATGAGCATCGATCTACGCAGTTGAGATATGATGACATGTGTCAACCAAGTAAGTGAGCTTGACCACCCGATTCAGCATGGGTTGCTGAAGATCAATTCTAACCCGGATCTTCACCGGTTAAAGCGTTAGGTCAAGACGCAGGTTCAGTTCCCCATGTGAGTACAATGTGTGAAGAATATTTTTGTGTGCCTGCGTGGTATTGATGGAAGATTGTTGAAAGCGACTTAAAACTAAACACACTCGAAAAACGTGGCTGCATGACGATGTATCCATCTCGCATGAGTATCCATCTTGCAGAGCAAGTCTCGGGCCACTTACTGGAGTTGATGCCTCACTGAATGGATGGGGTTGCCCACTCACAGTATAGGACAACCTCAGAGCTTTGGACAAAAGATCAAGAAACATGCCCTTCAAACAGTTTGATCCTTGTGATTTGTCACGCCTTCAGGGAACCAGTCTTCTGGTGGCCACAGACAACACGATTGTAGCTTCATTCATCAGGAACTGGGATTCGACAGTTTGCAGTTCTTCCTCGACCAGATATTTCGTCTGTATTAAATAACAGACCATCTTCACATCCATCTAAAAGCTCCTCACATTCCGAGGTGATCGAACATCTTAGCATATTCTCTGTCGAGTCGCCTCAGCCAAATGGATGATTTACAAAGAAGCCTCAAAACTTCTGAGTCACGAGCTTGAATCGCCAAACAGATTTGTTAGAGTCAAAGTAATCACTTCTGGTTTATGTGTCTCCAGTTTCAGATCCAGCTGCTTGGACAGTGAATGCCTTGGGCCTCTCGTATGAAAACCTAAATGCGTGCACCAATTTTACAACACAAGGTCCTTAGCAAGATCAAGACGAGATTTTGATTTTGGTGGCCAGACAGAAGCTTCTACTGCCGGCCTAAGAAAACATCCTGGTTTATCCTCACAGCCATCAAACTCATCCCACGTGACATTCATTCTGCACATGGACCATCTGCAGTTGGCGTTGTGTCAAGTTGTTCTCGACCAGAGCTCCATTGCACAAAGCAATCTTAGTGCTAAGACTGTCTTAGGTCTATGTTAGAGTGTGGGAGTTAGGATCATCGTGGAGCTTAGATCGCTTTGTGCAGGAGAGTCCAGGGCAGTTAAGACCATAGATCGACCCGTGAAGATCCGGGATAGAATAGGTCTTCAGCAACCCATGTGCTTGCCATAAAGGCGACTATGCTTGTCGTGAGGGGCGACTAACGGGATCGGGTGGTCAGTTTCGCTCACTTGGTTGACACATGTCATCGGTTCCCAATTGCGCAGATCGATGCTCATGCTGTTGATCTCTGGATTGTCTGGTCCAGACTCGATTATTTACAGACCGCCGCCATATAGCTGGGATATTGCGGAGTGCGGCGTAACACTAAACTCACTCACTCACTAAGACCATAGATCTGGCACATGGGACTTCCACCAGGCACCTGCCCGACGACAGCTTGAAGGGGTTCGAGATGTTTTCTGCAGCCAAGAAACAAGATCGGATGCGGTCGTCTCCTATGTTCTTAACAAACAGCCTGCTCTATCTACAGACCAGGAAGTAGGACTTCAACGGGCCAATTTGCTTGGACTCGAGTACTCGAGGGGTCAGACTCGACTCGAAATTCATACCTTTCAAGCAAACAATAGCGTAAACTGGCACGACATTACACAATCGATGATTGTTTGATTAACATTGAAGTTGGTAACTTAGTAATACACATATTAAGGTTCCGATCATACACGTTAACACTTACTTCATTCCGACTTTAAATCGTCATGTGACGCACACTTCCTATTGGTATTCGGCTGTTTACATGACAAATTTTTTTTTTATTGTATACTGGTTGTACTCCTTGCATAACGCAGTAATATACCTCACAGACGGCATTTGTTTGTGTTTCTTTTCACTTTCCAGATCAAAATATTCCAATACATTGATTTGATACATGTACCCGTGAAGGTCCGGGTTAGAATTGATCTTCAGTTACCCATGCTTGTCGTAAGAGGCGACTAACGGGATCGGGTGGTCAGGCTCGCTGACTTGGTTGACACATGTCATCGGTTCTAAATTACGCAGATCGATGCTCATGTTGTTGATCACTGGCTTGTCCGGACTGGATTATTTACAAACTGTGGCCATATAGCTGGAATATTGCTGAGTGCGGCGTAAAACTAAACTCACTCACTCAGTTATATTACATATATGTGTGTAACCAGCATTGTCTTGTGTATGTAATTATTGTGTATAGTTTTGTGAATTGTGTATATAGTCATTTTGAGACCGTTTAGATGCATAAGAATTTCCTCCGGGATAATAACGCTATGTCTTATCTTAATATCAGGCGTTACCGGCCGCTCATGCTTAGCACAATCATGGCAGACAGACAGTCTGTCAACGTAACCCAATAATTAGAGTTATCTCCCCTTATCGAGTCTTCGAGTCCTAGAAAATGGCCTAGAGTCCAGCCAAACCCGACTCGTGCTCGAATACTCGAGTGCCCGTGGAAGCCCTACCAGGAAGACAGCTTTCCTTTTATCTCCAACGACAACATCGTCAGTTAGTGAAGCGCAGGTGTTAGATGTTACCAAGCCCATGTGTTAGAGTAATGTTTGAACAGCCCAGACAACATTCTATACATCTGAGTCTGTGCTGGAACTTCATCTCCACAAACCAGTAGTCAGAGTAACCCGACAGAACGTTCTCTATTCCTCCTTTGTCTTCTATTATCGTCGTAGAAGACGGTACGGAGCTCCTCTTATGTCCGGTTCGTGCGCTCAGAGAGTACATTAGCGAACCAAGGGTTTCACTATTACTGCAAATAGGTTATGTCTTCCTGTTGATGTCAGCAAGAACACCACTGCATTATGGTTAAGGACAACCAATCTCGTTGCGCTCCACGTAACTGAACAGTGTCGCCCATAATGCAGGGGTTATGAAAGCAACAAGTACTTCATGTCGGACACGACATATCAACAATATTCGTCAACTACACGACATGGCGGTCAAGGACGTCGTGTGGGGGGACAATATTCGTCAACTCCGGCTAATTGGCATATGGTTGCGCAACTCTGCCAGTAAGGAAGATACCTCCAGTGCTTTCTCCCCGTGGAGCACCAAAAACGTCGTGTGGGGAGATTGTTGTTACCAACGCGGCGAGTAACATGTGTAGTAGTCCATTACTGGTTCTCCTAAAGCTCATTACGCTTTAAAATCGTGTGGCAATTACGTCTTTGTATCATATGGTCGCATTGCCACGTCAAATCGTAAGGCTCTGTTCCAGTTACAATGACGGCCTTTTGACAGCCGGACGTAGGATGGAATGGGCAGAGAGCTGCCTTTGATTTCTTAGCGAGACTAAATTTAGTAAAATATTGCCCGCTTTCTCTTCATCTGAGGGATTTGGGGCAATAATCAGAGGTGGCAAACAACACCTTCCTATAGTCCGCGCGCAGACGGTTATTTATGCAAGATCTGACGTGCTCATCAACATTGGCGGAATCAAGGAGGGGGTTCGAACTCCCCCCTTTTGCAAATGACTAAAGGCCATATTGAAGTTAATGTAATGC